CGAGTGTTTTTTCTACCCGTGTGAATGGTGTGTGTACTTTGATATTATAGAGGGAAAAGAACTCAATATAAGACTTGCAACGATACACGTTTGAATATTTCGCTCTCTCTCTCTCTCTCTCTCTCTCTCTCTCTCTCTCTCTCTCTCTCTCTCTCTCTCTCTCTCTCTCTCTTTCTCTCTCTCTCTATCTATCTATCTCTCTCTCACATATACACACACATACACACATACACACACACACACACACACACACACACACACACACACACACACACACACACACACACACACACACACACACACACCGCGCGCGACTGCGTTCCTTTATGAAGCACGTACATTAGCACTCTCGGACAACGAAGCCCATCGGTATTTCAAAGGGGTGTATATCTAAGTACGGTACCGCGATACACTGTGAGCCTATGAGCGACTCAGTCTAGTGATAAATGATAAACTCTTGAATGGCAATCAACGATATCTCTAGGGTTCATCTGCACAGATTGCATAAATTTAATGATGGTCGTGTTGATAAATATAACTAGATACACTGCACTTATATGTCTTATGCTTGTTGTGGGAATGTATGCAATTGTTGGAGGGTGACGTCACTGGCAAGGTCTTATTCCCTTTCTCATACTACGACTAAAGAATGAGACATCGTCCTCGAAGAGCCAGATACGTGTATCATGATTTTGGAGCGAAAATTATTTTTTTCCACCAATCGAAAGCGCGTATCATGGGGTTCTTTTCTGTATATGTTTAATTGTGTTCCCCGCTTTAAAATCGCTATAAAAAGCAAATCACTGTTTCACTTATCATCGCTGTTTGCTTACAAATTAGCTCATCTTGAGAAGTGCGGAATGGATTTCAATATTGTTACAACTTGGATGACGCAACAAGAATTACTACGGAACTGACAGTAAAGCCAAGAATTCCTAAATCTTGTATCATGATACGCTTTTAGGGCTTGATCGTTTCCGGTGTGTTGATCATTCATACATACCTACATTAATCAGTTTTTTGTTCCTGCTGAAAAATTCTCTAAAACCTTGATACGTAGAACTGGCTCTTATAGGGCGACATGGTGAAGAGAAACAAAGAGCTTATAAAGAAGCCAGAAAGCTGCCGACGTAGAATATTTGAACGCTTTTAAGGTCCACTAGGTACAACTGAAAGCAAAATATTAATTTAATAGTTTTCTGACTTTAAATATACAATTTAATAGACCCCAGGACTCATACACAAGATTCCAACAAAGAACAGTTGCCCACCAGGTACTATTTTTCATAAATCTATGATGTTCAGGCTGTAGCCGATAACATTCTTGTCAGCCTGGCGGCGCAAGTTGTGACAAAAGTTGTAAAGATAAACAGTTCCTGTTTGATAACAATAAATATAATTATATAGCCTGCAACGTGCTAAAAAATCATTTATTTTCGACGATAACTTTGTGAGATACAACATTTCAAAGTCTTCACCAACTGCCGCCTTATGTATGCTTCCCGGGAAGCTGAGAATGTTTCGGAGTGTTCTATGGTTTGCTGGGGTAATAATATAGTGTAAAGCGCATAGAGCCTGCTGTTGAGCGGGAATATGCGCTATACAAATGCTATCTATTATTATTATTATTATTATTATGAGATTCTCTTCATATCAGATCAAATTTGGTACATACCTCACAGCACAGGCCAAAATAGTCGTTATATCACAATGATTCTTTAGCACGTCATAGCTACATATACAGGGAGCCATCATGCAAAACCTCAAAGCAATTGATGAACTGGTGTTTGAGAAATCTCCCCCGCCGCGACCCCTACCCCTAAAAAAAAAACACTTCGGAGAAAAAGACTTTATGGCGAGTTGTAGAGTGAATTTGATATTATTTAAAATTTTTATTGTTACTTAAAAGTTGTTTTAGATCACAAATGTATTTACACCGAATTTGAATATTTTAACTTTTTAGCATTTTAAAGTAAATTAGTTACCAGTCGTGAAGTGAACTTTCGCAGAGGTGAACAACTTGTGTTTCGCGCGCTCATATGACCTTAGCAGTTGCGAGCGCCGTAAAACCTTATACTATACATACATACAAAAGAAGTATTCAATACATAATGAATAAGACAAAAATTGTTTCATTTTAGGAATCTCATACTTCAAAGTTTTATTTGACATCAACAAAGTTTAGAAAACCACAAAAAAGCCAACAAAATGCAATAAACAGGAATTTGGATATGATATATACCTACATAATACTGTTGGTAAAATAATAGCCAAAATCCTTCTGGAATGACAGTAAAATTGTTATAGAATAAAAAAGTATTGAAGAGACAAGGCTGAAATGTTCACACGTTATACATATGTACCTTAGGATTATAATGAATCCATAAAAAGGCAAGACATACAAAATGACTTATAATGGTGACCCTCTTCTTCACCTGATCATAATGAACTGCTGAAATCGTTCTGAAAAGATAGAAAAATGCTTACAGAAAAAAAGCTATTGAAGATAGAGAGTTGAAATTCTCACATGTGTTATAAAGAATCATAATGAATATGTACAAATCATCAGAAATATCTAAGTTATGATGTATACCCCATATAAGTAGTGTGAAAAGAAAATTGCTGAAAATAAATGTAAAATTGTTACAGGGGTAAAAAACAACAACTTCTGCAGACAGACTATTTTTAGAATACATCAAACAAATTAGAACAAAGTAAACTTACATTAATAAAAGAATGAAAATCTCTGACACAAAATTTAGAATGCCGAAGCCCCGGGTGCATAAGAAGCGGATCCAAACGTTTCAACCTCTAGGACTTCGGCGAGGCTATTTTCCTTTGCAGCTGCAGCTCTTTTTGCAGCTCGCTTCTCAGCCTTTCACTTGTCATATGTGTCAGAGATTTTCATTCTTTCCTCATCCCGCTTTTCCCCCAAAAGAATACTGCAATTTGAAATTTCAAGCCGAAGGTTCCACATCCAGGTGTGGGTACCAACGGAACCCCGGTTCCATTCGCACACTGCCATGGCAGTGGCAGCCTCGACCCAGTCCCTGCCCACAAAAATGTGCTTAGGGCACCGAAGCCATATCTGGCAGTGGAAAGCCTCATTATTATTTTGGGTTTTACCCACCATACAGCCCGCAAGTAGCTTCGGGTCAGTCATTCTTTCGTGTACCGGCCTTTAAAAAAACATGTCTGGTGCTTCTTGTGCTCAGGGACTGGTTCGTCCCTGGCTTGAGCCCTGTTGAAGAAGCACCAGGAGTCGGGTCCCTCAGGACACAACATGTGTCTTGGAAAAGCATCTGTGGAGACACAGTGGAAATACGACGCCTTGATGGCGTCGGCCATCACTTTGATGTCCTCCTCCGAGGCCCCAGTAAAACAGATGTCTTCACCTGCAACCCGGCTGCCGGCAACACTCCTCACGGCCCTAGTAAAGTACACTTGCAGCTTTGCAATCTTCTCCTGGGGAATAAATAAATTAGAAAAGGAAAAAGAAAATAAGCTTAGTTTGATAAGTTTGGTAGAGCCGTTACAGCACTTGCAAAACGTTAGGCCGTATGCGTTGAAAATCAGAGGTGCAGAATACATGAACAGACTAAAAAGAAGGGTTGGATAGATAGGAAGACCGTAACAAAGTGACAGAAAAAGCAAACCACACCAATGTCCAACATCCCGCTTTAAAAAAGATATTTAAAAATCTGTAGACAATTACCTGTACAAACACCGACTTCTCACTTCTTCATTTGCATTTTTTTGTTTTTTCAAACATGACACTAACTTAGGTAAAAGAATATTCTCATTACCTGTGTCAAAGCTAAAGATGCCCTTCCTCCAAGAGCCACTCCCCGTTTCCGCTCATCAGCAACCACATTCCTCAGCTGAGTGCCAATGCTGGCAGATTTATTTAGGAAAAGAATAGAAAACAAACTGATGTGAAACTGCATTGACACAAAACAGTATTTGTACATTAACAATTTGCCCAGTTTTCTGTACTTATATAGAAACCAGAGGAGTGATCATATATGTTACATATACAATACAGTGAAACATAAACATAACTGTACAATGATCATACACACAACGGACTACGTATTAAATTAATTTCTACTAAACAGATTTCGGCCGCCTGGCAAGATGTAAACGTGTGTGTTCAATCGACTTACCTTGTAAAGGATATATTATACTGAACTTGACGTAATACAGTCATGGTAAATTTACTTACCGTTTTGAAACATGGTTGACACACTCCCCTTTCGTCACAGCAATGCCGTCATAAGGTGGGTTTTTGGTCAGCTCATTGTAAGTCTTGGAATCTCCATCCGAGATCATTGTAGTGTACCTGAGACATTCAGATATAAGGAGAAAAATTAAAGTATCCTCAAACTGCAAATTTGTCACACAAAAAGTGTCCACTTTTTTTTTAAACAACACAAAACAACACAAAACAAACAAACAAACAAACACTTCAGGTACAAAGTGACAAAACTCAATGAAATAAATGATGGTTTACCTCAAAAGTTTTATCAATAATTTGCTTGCTACAATTTAGTAAAGATTAGAATTCTGGACACTATCTTTTGTTTGCTATTGTTTGATCAAGATTAGGTGTTCTTGACACATCCAAATCAATCTTCAAGATTTTCTCTCCATCTTCCTGTGCACATTTTATTTTCAGTATATATATATTTCTCGTTTACTTTTATTACCAAATGTATCTAACCTGAGGCCATACTGCTCCGACCTCCCCCACATGACTGCAGCTGCAGCCACTTCCATGGAACCTGAAGACCCTGTATGATTCTTGTGGCAGTTGGGTCTATGGGTTGTCTTCCACCTCTCGAGGTCATCTGGTCGGTCCTTTAGTCGTTTTTCCATGACCTTGCATAACTGTTGAAAGAACAAAAAGATAATGAATACAAGGAATTTAGAATCATGCTCATGGATAATAAAGTTGCATAGACTATAACACAGATAGCTCGAATTCCCCAGGACCGGCCTAGGTAGTTTCAGGGATACCCCACAAAGAAACCCCCCCCCCCAAAACAACAACAACAGGACCGCAGGCACAGTTCCATGGAAGCGTGATTTCGGGTCTTCTGTGTTCAACCTATCCGTGTTATACTGTATAACGTTCAAATAAATTATCAGGACTTCTCAATAGACTGAAACATGCATTTATTTTCATCTCTCTTCTAACTTTTTATATGAACTCCATACCGAGTTACAAGACGCTCCCCCTCCCACCCACCCCCCCACAACAACATTCTCAGTGTGAAAAATAAAGTATTATATTATTTCAAGACGTAAGCTTTATAGTATTCCAAGACAAAGTATGAGCT